ATTGCACAATAAACCACCTTTAATCTTCCAATTAGGTGAGAAATGCAGTACTTTTTTTGTTAAAAAAAAAAATAAGGTGCCGGAACTCACACACGTTATAAAACCCGCCTTTTCTACCCTACAAGGTTCCATCAAAAAAAGGTGCTGGAACTCCGTTCTGGGCGTTTTATGACAAAAAAAGCCCTGGAGAAATCCATCTTCACTTCTTCATTTCTATAGACAGTGAAGAGCAAATGAAAATCCCCTACAGCAACCCCATCTCCATTTCTTTTGCGGCATCTTCAAAGCAAGATTCCCTATCTTCCGTACGGTCTACAGTTTCCAAGTTCTCACAAAAAATGTTTGAGTGATGGGAGTAAAGGCATTTCAAAGAAATCCTCCTCTCCTTATCCAAATAAACAATCAACACACATATTGCTGCCAGGAAAAAATCTATAACTAATTAAACAATCTTGGAAAGAGGTTGAAAATGCTACAATAAAAGCACTTCTTTTGATATGGGCAATTATAATAAATCTTGCTACTAAGAATAATCTTTCACAAAGCCTTGTTTGGCAAAAATAAAACTTCTATATACAGTATATCCTGTAGATAGCAAACAGTCTTTCTATTCTTTTTTGGGAGCAATCTTTCCATTCAAGAGAGTTCACACAGGATACTAATTTCTCTTTGTGAGTTGCTCCCTGTGGTTGAGGTCAGGCCTAAAAACAATTATGTAGCATTTTGGCAAAAATATGCATCCCAGTAATGCAGCACTGGAGGACAAGATGGAGAAGATCTCCACAGCAACCATGGCTTTTCCTTTTGTGCTCAGATAGGCTGGAAAGAAGGAGACCCACACACTGCAAAATGCCAACATGCTGAAGGTGATGAACTTGGCTTCGTTAAAGCTGTCAGGTAATTTACGAGCAAGAAAAGCCACAAAAAAGCTGGCAATGGCCAAGATACCCATGTAGCCCAAGACACAATAAAAGAAAAAAGCTGACCCCTCATTGCACTGCAAAATTATTTCTTGGAGCTCTGAATACATGTCCAACTCAGGGAATGGTGGAGATGTTGACAACCAAATAATACAAATCAATACTTGGAAGAGAGAACAGGAAAGGACAGTACAAAAAGCCAATCTTTTCCCCACCCATTTCCTCATCTGAGATCCTGGTTTAGTGGCCATGAAAGCCACAACTACAGTGATGGTTTTGGCCAATACACTAGAAATGGCAACTGAGAAAGTGATGCCAAACATTGATTGTCGGAGAAGGCAGGTCACTTTGCCAGGATGGCTGAGAAAGAACAAAGAGGAGAGGAAACAGAGCAGAAGAGAGACAAGCAGGGTGTAGGTGAGGAACCTGTTGTTGGCTTTGACAATGGGAGTGTCCCTGTGCTTAATAAAAGTTCCAAGTACCCAAGATGTCAAGAAGAAGAAACAAAGAGCTGCTGAGGCTAAACAAATTCCTAAGGTTTCTTCAATAGTTAGAAAGATCAGCAGTTTCAGGATACATCCTTTCTTTTCTTTATTTGGATAATGATCTTCTGAACATTCAAAACAGTCATCCATATCTGGAAGAAAAATCAAGGATACTTTTTAATTTAGGCATTTCATATTACTGAAAATTGTCTTATTAATTTTATACATCCAAGTAGTTTATTAAAGTTTTCTTAATTCTAATAAAAATGATAGAATTCCTACCCTACCATTTTGATTTGAAATCTTCCCTTCTGGACATGGAACACAGGCATAGCAGCAGAATTGATCCCCCTCAATCCCTTTCTTCCAGGATCCAGGAAAACAAGGGTCATTGCATCGAGAAAGTGGAAGAACCTGGTGATAAGCATAAAAGGTTTTGAGATTGGGGGTATTTAAAACAGTTCTTAATTTTTCTCCTTTATTGTGGGGAAATATTTTTGACTTCTGAAAGAATACTTAATTTATCAACTTCATCAACAAGTTAAAATGATATAGAAATTACAGTGATGTACAAAAGATCCTTTTTGAAGGGCAAGATGAGTAAATAAGTGCACATGTTGACAATCTAATGGAAAAGTGGCTACTCTCATGACTTAAAACACAAATGCTAACCAAATGTGCAACCATGGCTTTTACATTATTATGTAAGTGCTTCATCATCAACAACATTTGTAAAGAATATGCCATTGTTTCTTAAAAAAACCCAGAAATCAGATATGAAAAGAGACTGTGTTCAATATGGGACCATAATGAATTATGGCATTGTCGATTCACCTGGTTAAAACCTGGATTCCAGACGATCACATCTTCATCAATGAGTAATTCCTTCCCTTTTGGGGCCTGTAGATCCAGCTTTCCAACACTAACTCTCTGAAAGGATCTGTTTGGAAAAGTGATCAAGTTGGTGATGTCGAATCCACCTGTTGCTTTTCCTTTCTCATTCAGGAACACTCTCTCCCCAGCTGAATTGTTAAAAGAAATGCCTTGAAGAAATGAGTGGAGCTACTTAAAAGGAAATAGAAGAGAAAGGGAATTGAAAGGCTAATAATGGAGAAGAGAACACCATATTCAATTTTCATTCACTCATTCTTACCATTCCTATAACTATTATTATATATGTATGCTTAGAAATTTGATAATTGATATTGCGTGGAAATAAATAATTAATTAATTTTATATTATTTTAAGGAAAGCTAAGAAGGAATTGAAGCAGAATGAAAATACACTTTTGGAAATAACATTTAACACAGCTTCCTTCAGTTATGATTTGGGTTTCCTACTGAAAGAACTAATTGAACCTAACCCATATATAATCTTTCCTCATTGATACAAAGCTATTTTAGAGTTTGAGGTCTGACTAAATTCCTCTAACAAAATTTTAGAATCTGAGCTTTCTTTGATAGATAGATTAGTGGTAGAGATAATTGCAAACGTAGGTTTGGTTCATACTATTTATGCACATATAAAAAGGATCACTTTTATTTTATTCCTCTAAAACCCTGATAGAGACACAAACTGCATGAGCCACATAAAAAGTTCTTGGAGAATGGATTATTTTTGGAGGTGACAATGAAAAGTAATTTAAATTATCATTTTAATTACCTCTTATTTTGGAAGCTATGGTGATTAACTAAATAACTCCTGCCCACATNAAGATGTCAAGAAGAAGAAACAAAGAGCTGCTGAGGCTAAACCAATTCCTAAGGTTTCTTCAATAGTTAGAAAGATCAGCAGTTTCAGGATACATCCATTCTTTTCTTTATTTGGATATTGATCTTCTGAACATTCAAAACAGTCATCCATATCTGGAAGAAAAATCAAGGATACTTTTTCATCTAGGCATTTCATATTGGGTGAGATCATCCGTGGTTTCGGGGTGGAGTTTCATCAGTACACAGATGACACCCAGCTGTACATCTCCACCCCGGACCACCCCAACGATGCCACGGAAGTGATGTCCCGGTGCCTGGAGGCTGTGCGAGTCTGGATGGGGAGGAACAGGCTTCAACTCAACCCGTCCAAGACCGAGTGGCTGTGGTTTCTGGTGTCACGACATAGCCAGTTGGCTCCATCCCTGGCTATCGGGGGCGAGTCATTAGCCCCTGCGGAGAGGGCCCCTAACCTGGGCATCCTCCTGGATACTCGGCTGTCTTTAGACGACCATGTGACGGCCGTGGCCAGGGGGGCTTTTCATCCGGTTCGCCTGATACGCCAGTTGCGCCCCTTTCTGGATCGTGATGCTCTACACACGGTCACTCAAGCCCTCTTATTTTCCCGCCTGGACTATTGCAACGCTCTCTACATGGGGCTCCCCTTGAGGTGCACCTGGAAGCTCCAGCTAGTTCAGAATGCAGCCGCGCGGGGGATCCTGGGGGCCTCTAGATACTCCCATGTAACACCTCTCCTGCGTGAGCTGCACTGGCTGCCTGTGGCCTTCCGGGTGCGCTTCAAGGTGTTAGTAACAACCTTTAAAGCGCTCCGTGGCAATGGACCTAGGTATTTGCAAGACTGCCTCCTACCAAACACCTCCCTTCGACCAGTCCACTCCCACAGAGAGGGCCTCCTTAGGGTGCCGTCGGCCAGACAATGCTGGCTGGCGACCCCCAGGGGGAGAGCCTTCTCTGTGGCAGCTCCTGCCCTCTGGAATGACCTACCCCCCGACCTACGTACAGTTGCAGACCTGCGCCTTTTTCGCCGAGCCCTGAAGGCCCATCTATTCCATGTGGCCGGCCTGGCGTAGTTTGATTATGTTTTAGTGGGGGTTTTGTATGGGGTACTTTTAGAGCAGGCCTGTTATTTAATTTGATTTTAGACCAGAAACTTGTGTATATTTATCATGGTTTTTATTGTCGCCTGTTCACCGCCCTGAGTCCGGTAAGGGAGATAGGGCGGTATATAAATTCAATAAATAATAATAATAATATTACTGAAAATCGTCTTATTGATTTGATGCCTCCAAGTAGTTTATTAAAGTTTGCTTAATTCTAATAAAAAATGATAGAATTCCTATCCTACCATTTTGATTTGAAATCTTCCCTTCTGGACATGGAACACAGGCATAGCAGCAGAATTGATCCCCCTCAATCCCTTTCTTCCAGGATCCAGGGAAACAAGGATCATTGCATTGAGAAAGTGGAAGAACCTGTGATAAGCATAAAAGGTTTTGAAATTGGTGGTATTTAAAACAGTTCTTAATTTTTCTCCTTTATTGTGGGGAATTATTTTTGACTTCTGAAAGAATACTTAATTTATCAACTTCATCAACAAGTTAAAATGATATAGAAATTACAGTGATGTACAAAAGGTCCTTTTTGAAGGGCAGGATGAGTAAATAAGTGCACATGTTGACAATCTAATGGAAAAGTGGCTACTCTCATGACTTAAAACACAAATGCTAACCAATTGTGCAACCATGGCTTTTACATTGTTATGTAAGTGCTTCATCATCAACAACATTTGAAAAGAATATGCCATTGTTTATTTAAAAAACCAGAAATCAGATATGAAAAGAGATTGTGTTCAATATGGGACCATAGTGAATTATGGCATAGTCGATTCACCTGGTTAAAAACTGGATTCCAGATGATCACATCTTCATCAATGAGTAATTCCTTCCCTTTTGGGGCCTGTAGATCCAGCTTTCCAACTCTAACTCTCTGGAAGGATCTGTTTGGAAAAATGATTAAGTTGGTGATGTCGAATCCACCTGTTGCTTTTCCTTTCTCATTCAGGAACACTCTCTCCCCAGCTGAATTGTTAAAAGAAATGCCTTGAAGAAATGAGTGGAGCTACTTAAAAGGAAATAGAAGAGAAAAGGAATTGAAAGGCTAATAATGGAGAAGAGAACACCATATTCAATTTTCATTCACTCATTCTTACCATTCCTATAACTATTACAATATATGTATGCTTAGAAATTTGATAATTGTTATTGCGTGAAAATAATTAATTTATTAATTTTATATTATTTTAAGGAAAACTAAGAAGGAATTGAAGCAGAATGAAAATATACCTTTGGAAATAACATTTAACACAGCTTCCTTCAGTAATGATTTGGGTTTCTTACTGAAAGAACTAATTGAACCTAACCCATATATAATCTTTCCTCATTGATACAAAGCTATTTTAGAGTTTGAGGTCTGACTAAATTCCTCTAACAAAATTTTAGAATGTGAGCTTTCTTTGATAGATAGATTAGTGGTAGAGATAATAGCAAACATAGGTTTGGTTCATACTATTTATGCACATATAAAAAGACCACTTTAATTTTATTCCTCTAAAACCCTGATAGAGATAGAAACTGCATGAGCCACATAAAAAGTTCTTGGAGAATTGATTATTTTTGGAGGTGACAATGAAAAGTAATTTAAATTATCATTTTAATTATCTCTTATTTTGGAAGCTATGGTGATTAACTAAATTACTCCTGCCCACATCTAAACCATAATTTATAGAGTAGCTTCGTGATGATCAGAATAACAATAAGAACAGAAACTGTTATTTCTATATGTATTTTAGATATAACAGTAAAATACAGTTGTAAGGAACCTTGGGGATCTTCTAGAACATCACCCTGCTCAAGGAGAAGACCCTGTACCATTTCACACAATTAGCTATCCTTCTCTTCCTAGAAATCTCCAGTTTTGAGCATCAACAACTTCTGAAGGCAAGTTGTTCCACTAATTAATTGTTAATTGTTCTCACAATCAGGAAAGTCTTCCTTATTTCTATGTTGTTTCTCATACTTGATTCCACATGCAGAAAAAATTAAGACTTTCTACAATGAATTCAAAAGATAATTCTACATCAAACTGCTCATTGAAATGAAAGAGGTATCAAATGCAAAGGGAATACCTGCCAAGCCTGCAGATATTGAAAATCAGGTTTTTTATCCATCTTAGTTTTCTTTCTATTGAACTCTAGAATGAGTAGACCTTGCAAAGCATGAGCCACAGCATAAACAGCATTGTAGATACTATAGCTTTGGCCAGTCATTTCCATTTCAAATACAGGTGCAGGAAGGTCCTCCAGCTTCATCTCCCCAGTGCATTTCCTACTCTGCATATCTTGTAACTCTGGTTTTGGAAATGAACAATCAAATGATTGTTCCCAAACATCCTGCAGAAACCCATCTCTGTCGTCTGAAAGAGGATTTACGGTCTGAAGAAATTCTTTGAAACCTACAACTGCTCTTGAATGAACAGTGAAGGAAATAGCCCCATGGAACATCTTGAGATCCCATGTGATTTGAAATCCTGATAATATGAAATCAATCTGCGCAGTCATGATCCACACATTTCTAAATAATGCAGTTTCTTTGCTCTCAGGATCTGCAAAAAATGTAGCATACCTTAGCCACATAATTGCCCAGGATTCTCCATAGACAAGAAATGCATTGGTTTTGCTGTTCATAAAATTAATGGGCATAATTGAGACTGTAAGATAAACTTCTTGGACGTCTTCCAAGTGGACCAGTTGTGCAAGCCTTTCTATGAACGATGAGCAGATTCCATTCTCTGAAAGTAAGGGCTGTATTTTGTGTAAGAATTTTTCTCCATTATTGTTATCAACAGCATAAATCCCAATCCATGTCCACCCGAAATGGCGAAGTAGTTGGATAATCCCAATGTATTGATGGTCCTCTTTTGGGACCATGAAATAAAGTGAAGAGAGCTTACTGGTCTGAAATGCATCTTGGGCCAATGAGCCATATGTCAGCTAAAAAAAAGTGGAGTACAATTCTGTTCAATTATTAAACTGAAACCAATTTTTCTAGTCTAGTTTTCCTATAAAATATATCCAAGAATTTTTTTCCTCAGCATTCTCCTAAATATTAATACGAAAGGAATGTGTTGGAATTACTTCAAGCACATTTAAAAGATCAATTGTTTTAATACGGGCAAAGGTAGTACATTCAAATCTTCCCTTAGGTATGGAATGTCTCTAGATATTCAATTCATGTAATTGGCATTGTAGTATCAGAAAAGAATGCTACGTAGTAGGCCTTAAGATATGAAGAACATCCTAACACAAACCTAAGTTTTGATGCTCATTAATTATCCCATAACAACAACAACAGCAACAGCAACAACAACATATAGTTTTTTTCTCTTCAACCCCATCACAGCTTACTTGTGAAAATTTGAAGAAATCCATTATTTCAGCAATATAAGATGATGTATCAAAATCCAATCCTCCAATAATAGCCATGAGTTTTTTCTGGCTATCACATTTGTAGTTAAGGACAAATTCCTGGGATTTGAAAAGGAGGTCCAGAGTGGTGCGATAGGTCATCCTTGGGTTGTGGTAACTGTCATAGATGTGGAACCCAAGAGTGATGTTAGGTAAGATCTGGGAGTCCTCATTGATCTCCTTCACAGCAAAGGCCAAGGCAAGGACATGCTGATGAAATTTGGTGATTATACTGCAAATAATTGAAATACCCTTGTTGAAAAAGTAAGCTGACAATTCTCATGACGCGGTATTACTTCTTAAGAATAATAGCCATTTCTTTCTTTGATATCCTTTCTAAAATTCCTAATTATAAGCCCTGATGATATCACCTAATTTGTTTAATTAAATGTCTGCAAGAAAATAATCAAAATCAGAGAGCATCAAGGACCCCTCATTTCAACCCTGTGCTAAAATATTCTCCTTTATTGATAATTTCTACAGAGTTTAAATTTACATTTTACACAGTATTTCAATGACTTGTAAGAAATATATATTTTTCAATTATCTATATTTATTTTTTATGAAATTTTAAAAAATGATAAATGAACAGATTTAACAGGTGTCACTATTTACTGTTTGTATGTTTTGGGAGGAGAGATAATGCCAAACCTTTTTAAAAATTACCTCAGTTTCATTATATGTTCAACAATGTGTGTGGATGTTTTTTTTTAAAAATGTAAAGAAGATTATTTCTTCCACCAGAAACAGATGTAATAGAAAGACACAGAAAGCATAGATTACATAGAAGAACCCTACATTTATGTAGAAACAGCTTTTATAAGGGATTTTGGGGCATCTGGCTAAGATTAGATAGCAAAGAAAAATTCTTACATTGGTATGTCATTAGGTCTTCTGGCAGGATGTTCATTAAATTTCATTTCCAAAAAGTGGTAAAGAATCTGGGACGCTATTCCACCAATGATGAAGTCTCCAGGCTGGTACCACTCATGTGGAACAAGGAAAGCATTACTTGCAGGGCACCTCAAAGTAGCTACTTTGTACACTAAGAAAATCAGAAAGTACATCTTGATGCTTTTGTTATTGTGAAAATGTTATGTCTTCCACCCTAACCATAGGGAAATATATATATATATTCCAATACTTCATCTAAGGATTAATCCAAGGTTTATATCTATGAATGCATCTAAATAGAAAATCTATCATTTTCTATTTGAAGATGCATGAGAGTGCAACTTGTATCTTGAATATTACAAGATTGGAGTTAATTGGAGTTACTTGGAATTTTATTGGTCTGACTGAAAGCAAACTTTAATGTACATTAAATGGAATTTTTTTACAAAGATACTCTGGCAATAAAAAAAAGAGGGTAGAAAGTTGAAGCAATGTATCTGAAAGAGACATTATTAACCCTTCTACCAAACTGTCTGTGGTTCACTACTTTATAGCCAAGCAGATACCTTGATATTTGTTGAATTTAAATACCCTTTTGTGCAGCCTTTGATGTTTGGGCCAAGCTAAGAAAAAAATGGTGATTCCTCTAGGAGATAATTATTTTGTTTTGATGAGATAATGTCTGATGGTTCATCAATTTTTTTAAATGAGCAATTGCCAACAAAAGTAGTATAAAGGATGGCTTCTAGTGAAGATGGACAACTGATGACATGCCAAGGGAGACATATTTTTTTTTTAAAATGAAGGATAGAAAGTTGTAATTTGAAGCTTAGTCTGCTTTGCTATGGGTGGCTAAAATGTTCTGATTTTTATGATTCCTTATTGGCCAGCAAATCCTAAGGGACTTACAAAAAAGCTACTCTTTGACTAAAGAGGGAGTTAAAGAGGAGAAAATTATGAGAGATGTATTTGAAAAATCCTTAAATAAAACTCACCAGTTCATAGATCAGCTATCCTCCAAGTATGTTAAAAAAAACAACTATTCAAACTCCTTCAGAAATACAATTATGTATAGAAAGTTATCAAAACACCAAGGCAATTGCACAAGTAGCTGGCAATGTAGAGGAGTCAATTGCAATTTTGGAATATAAATCTGACATCAATCTTAATTGTGATGGTTTAAACATAAACCTTTCAACAGAATTGAAAGAAGAGTTCCAAGAAAAAGGGCGTTGTTTACCTGAACGCCTATTCTCAACATGATGATGGATAATTCACCAATGGGTTATCTTAACCTTCCTGCTCCACGTGACTAAGTCTGAGTTTATAAATATCAGTACCACGCCATGTGCTCCCCAGTTTTGAGACTAGGCGATATGTGTACGTGTGTACATGTTTGTTGTAATACCCAGGCTTCCAGGCCCTAGGGTGGGGGTGAATTATCCATCATCATGTTGAGAATAGGC